CAGATCGATCGTACCCCTAAAACCAGAAGTAACAAAAAAGAAAATGGGTAAGCGGACACTTAGCAAAACAGGGGGCAAATAGATCTACCTTGTACTGGGCAGAAATGCTTTGTAGTGTTTGCAGATTGGGTTAATGCTTTCTGCAACCTATATCCATTGTATTTCAATATTTCTCTGTTATTAATAAATTTTTTTTGCTGATCAAAAAAAAAAAACAAAAAAGCACCCAAAACCATTTACTAAACCGGTCCAACAGAAAAACTGGTTAACCAATCCCCATTTTAGGAAACTGGTCAGTTTTTTGAAATTTTTTTCAAACAGAGGCAAACTTGCAGAGGCCATAACTTTGTGCTCAGATGTCTAATTGGGGTGATCTTTTTTTCTTTTTTGGGTAACTTTTTGAGACCTACATGTTTCCAAGGAGTTGAAGGTACACTGGCCCACTATTTTTTCCTAGAATGCTTTTTTTGCCCTCATCTTAATTCTTAACATAAAAGTTGAAACTAAAATAAAAAATTATAATTATCTATTTTGAATATATGTATATATCATACAATTGTGCGTATAATATACACACACACAAGGCATTGATAATAGCATTTTCCTCATCTGATTCACTTGCAAGATTATCCTCATATTCAGCCCTGGTGGCTGCAGGTTGTTCCCCTACTGATTTCTCATCACATTGCCCCATTTCACCCTCTAAGGAGGAGGTTACATTAGCATCGTCACCTTCCCCTTTTCACCCTCTAGGATGTAGGAGCTCTGAATGCAACTTCCAGCAGGTATCCTTCAAGTGTTTCAGCTTCTTGTAGTATTCACACACAACCTCCTTCTCAATAATCACATAGTTGTCAAGGCGACGCCTAGGCGCCCTTTGCCCAAATGCCAAGCAGTTTTGTGCATTGGGTTATAAAAAATACTTTTATATTTTTAATTTTTTGACATTATAATTATAAAATAGACATTATTAAACTAGGCTATTCATTTTATGTGTTTATATACTAATTTTTTTCAGCAAATAAGACTTTTATTAAGATCAAAAATATATTGAATTACATGAGTTTGGTTTCAGCATTGCAATGACCCAAGCTACAAACACATACAAACAGTTACGGTTCTGCCCAGAACAAGGTAGATCTATTTGCCCCCTGTTTTGCTAGGGTATCCGCCAAACCATTTGTAGTCCTTTTTACCCAACCAAATTGAGAATTGAACCTCCTTGCAAGTATGTCAATTTCCCTATAGATAAATTTGAGCTTCCAAGGTGCTGATGTGATTTGTTTAGCCCAAGAAATTACTAGTAGTGAGTCTCCTTCAATTTCTAAATCTGTTGCTCCAATCTGCTCAGCCAGCTTTAATCCTTGTAGGAGAGCCAGAGATTCAGCCTGAATTGAGTCACCAATACCTATTGGTCCTGAGAAAAGTGCCACAACTTCTCCTTGATGATTTCTAAGCACACCCCCTATACCTGCCCTTCCCGGGTTGCCAAAGGAACTCCCATCAAGGTTTAGTTTTAGTTTATTTAGGGCAGGTGGCTTCCACTCCACTCACAATTTCTTTGGGTACATCTGTTTGTGTCACTTCAGTCCAGCTCCTTAGAATGTCATTTGTGGAGAGGTTTTTGAATAGTTCCATGGTCATCACCCAATGTGCAGTTCTGATTTTTATGGCTTCAATGACTTCCTCTTTTGATTTGCTTTTTTCAAAGAAGATTCTTTGGTTTCTTTCCTCCCATATAGTCCATACACAGCAGCTCTTGCTGCCTTCCATAAGCACTTTCCTCTTTTCTTCTGTTGCCTCAGGGACAGGGGCTGAATAGACTTACTACATCCTGTGGGGGAGCCCATCTGCATCTAAAGAGAGAACAAACAATTTCCCAAATACAAGAAACAAGAGAGCAAGATAAGAGTAAATGGGGTAGGGTTTCAACACAAGCCTTACAAAGGATACACACATGAGGAGAGAGGCATTTGTTTGGCCTTCTTTTCTGTAGCACATCACAAGTGTTTACCTTCCCTAGGAATACTTCCCAAGAGAAGGCTTGTACTTTAAGAGGGATCAGTTTGCACCAGATTTCTCTCGCCAGGAAATTCACCTCCAAAAATTCAGAATGAGTGAGCAAACTAAAGAAAAAGGCACAAGAGAATAAATCGTCAAGGGTTGGGGACCAGATTCTGCTATCAGCTACATTTTGGTCTAAGTGGACCATCTCTAAGGTTGAGATCAAGAGCAATAAGGAAGCACATTCATTTTCCCTCAGACCCCTTCGGAAGCCAAAGTCCCAAGAGAGCCCCGAGTTTGAAAACACACCAACCCTAGCAACAGGTTTGTTTTTAAGGTCTGACAAGGAGTAAAGGTCAGGGAATTTAACATTGAAGGGCAAATCCCCTACCCACAGGTCTTCCTAGAATAACACTTTATTGCCACACCCAACACTAAAGAGGATAAAGTGAAGAAAGGTTTGCAATCCAATCGTTTTCTGCTTCACCATGAATGCTTTTAATGACCCTATGCCACAACCTATCTTCTTCACAAGAAAATCTCCACAGCCATTTCCCTAGGAGGGCTGCATTTTTCTTTAAGATGTTCCGTATACCTAGGCCACCTTGCTCCTTAGGTTTGTAGACTTGTTCCCACTTCACTAAATTATCTCTCTTTTCATCACCAGGTTCCCACAAAAAATCCCTCATTATCTTTTCTAAGTTCCTGGCTATTTTCGCTAGGATCCTAAAGGTGGAGAGGAAATAAGCGGGCTTATTTGCTAGGGTGGATTTTATCAAGGTTATTCTTCCCCCCAAGGAAATATAACTTCTCTTCCACATTGCCAACTTCTTACTGAATCTCTCTAAAACTGATTTCCAGAAGCTTTCAGCTTTCAGGTTCCCCCCAAGGGCATACATAAGTATTCTAGAGGCCTGCTTTTCACTTCACAGCCTAGTAAATCTGCCATGGTTTGGATGTCACCCTCTTCTAAGTTTAATCTAGCTATACAACTTTTTCCCCATTTCACTTTTAGTTTTGAGGCCTGCTGAAACTTATCCACCAAATTTTTCAGATTCCTCAAACTAGGTTCATCAAAGTTCTCACATAAAATGATAGTATCATCTGCAAATTGCAGGTGAGACACCACCACCTCTGATCTGCCAATCCTCCAACCTTTAAACTGATTTTCTTGGTCAGCCTTGATGATTTGTCTACTCGAAACTTCAACAACAAAGGTAAACAAGAAGGGGGATAAGGGGTCACCTTGTCTCAGTCCTCTTTTGGCCGGGAAGAAGTCCTTTGCTACCCCATTTAAAAGGACAAAGAAATGTGCTAAGCTAATACATCCTTTAATCCATGGTCTCCATCTTTCACCTTAACCCATCTTTTCCATGAGACTCATCACTCATCAAGAAAGACCAATCCACCATATCATAGGCTTTCTCTAGGTCCAATTTACAAATCAAGCCTTTGCCACCCTTTTTTTCTTCGCTGCCACACATTCATTTGCCACTAAGATTTGATCCATTATTTGTCTCCCCTCTATAAAAGCTCCTTGGTTCTAAAAAACAATAAAGGGAAAGACAATCTTCAGCCAACCAGCCAGATCTTTTGCAATGATCTTATTTGTGCACCTTATCACATCAATGGAGAAAAGGAACCTCTCAAACTTTGAGCACACTTGACTTTCCTCAAGATTTGACCAGGTGAAAGAGGCTTGTAACAAGGTGGGTTCTCTTAGTTCTAGGGACTCAATCAAGGAGTTGAAGTGTCTCATACTAGTTGTTATGGAATGGTTGGGGTTATTTGTCTCATTTATGTACCTTCTCACATTAAAGTCCCCTCCCAAACACCATGGTCCCTCCCAAAGGCCCCTAACTGCGGCTAGATCTTCCCAGAAGATATCATTTTCTCTATATGAGTTAGGGCCATACACATTGTTTAGCACCCATTCCCTTCCCCATTCTTCCAAATTGTAAGGATACCACCCGAGGCTCCCCAAGATGGGGTCAAGGCCAACTTAGACCCCTACTACTCCAGATACTTCTTATCCATCTTCCATCCAAATCTGAAAGTTTCGTTTCCTGAAGCATGACTATTACTGGTCTCTCTATTTTTATCACATCCTGACGATTCTCCTCTTCTTTGCACTCCCTAACCCTCTTACATTCCAACAAAGAATCTTCATTCCACTCTTTCGTTTCCTGAAAGTTTTGTTTCCCGAAGCATGACTATTACATGCCATTGACAACCACATCTTTGAACAACTCCTTTAAATTTATCAAACCAAGCTCAAAGACAAACCTACTTAGGATTACCTTTACACAATCAACATGGTCACCAACTCACCCTTCCTCTTAACAAAGAGAGTGTGATCAGCATGCCATTGACAACCACATCTTTGAACAGCTCCTTTAAACCTATCAAACCAAGCTCAAGGAGAAACCTACTTAGGATTACCTTTTGGAGAGAATCCTAGGTCCCTTAACTTTTGGAACCCCGTGGTGGCAGGTTCAATAAGAAACTAGCCTCTTAAAAAAGAAACTTCCAGTATGCTTTCTTTCAGTCTTCAAAATAGCTATGCAAGTGGCAAAAAGATTGGAGAAGATGATGAGAGATTTCAGTGGGAATCGGGTGAACATAGAAGATGCCATCTTCTTAAGTTGTAAATTGTGTGCAGGAAAAAAGGATGGGGATTTAGATTTGGTGAAAACTGTCAAAAGGAATAGGTTAGTATTGAAGAAATGGTTGTGGAGATTCCCTCTAGAAGCAAATAAATTGTGGCACTCTATCACCAAAAACATATGCCTCAGGGCATTTTGGGGCACCTCACCTGGACCACTCTTTTTAAAAAACTGATTTATAATATATGAGTCTGGATCATAGTTTCTAAATATATTCTGTATACTTTTTGTTAACATCAATACAGCAAGAATACAATATCAATCATTTCTAGTAACTTATCAGCACAAAAAGAAAACAAAAGCAAAAGAAGAAGGAAGAAGAAAACTAACCTAGCATGGTTAGACGATGAAGAGCAGTTATTGTAGTTGTTATATGCTTCTTTGCAAAATCCAACTTTTTAATGTCACGGCAGATTTCCTGAACCATTGTCTCACTTTGCTCTGCCTTTGTTTTTATCTCTCGGATTTTGTACATGAGTTCCTGAATAGAAAAAAAAAAGTATAACTACCAAATACAATTAAGAAAAATCATAATACTCGATCGAGCATTTAGAAGACTAGGATTTTAATGGGTTCCCATCACTGATTAATAAAACCAAAAAATGAATACTGAAATGATGCCTTCAAAACTAGATTTCATTTGCAATTAGATATTTATATTTGATGATCAATAAAAAATTTTTAGTCATAATTTTGTGCATAAAGAATAAACCTGAACAGCACGTGTTGCTGCAGCAAGATCTTCCTTAGCCTTGGTTCCTGAATTACTCTGAAATGATAAATGATTTACACATCAACTAACTTGAATGACCCAAAAAGAAAAGGAGGGTAATGTCACGATCAGTCACAGGACAAAAATTGTGTTTAAATTTAAAAGCTGGCCAGCTTGTATTGACAGGAAGCTTTTGAAGAAAACAGAAATGGTAAAAGGAAAAAAGAAATGAAACTGAAATAAAGGTCAACTATATTGCAGGTTTCACATATATTTTCTGCATAAAAAGAAAAAAATCCATCAAACCTTTTTCAAAAGAGAAACACTGATATAGAGAATCTTCTTCATGAGAAAGTAGAGCAGAAGTTTGTGTCTCCTCATATTGTGAGGGCCTTTTGATGGAGATTATTAACGAGAGAGAGAGAGAGAGAGAGAGAGAGAGAGAGAGAGAGAGAAACTACATGCACCATGACAAAGAAAAAGGAGGAATTGGAAAGCTATCACTTTAAGTCATGTAGTATATGCATAGAAATGAGAATAAACAGTTCTTATGCATTGCCAATTTGTAGACAAATATGCTTTTACTGCATTCAAGCTTTGCAATACAATGGGTGACTCTAGAGATATGTTAGACATTATGTCAAGATGGTATTCTGTGCCTTATGATATGAAAGGTGAATTGCCGTAAAGATATGTCTTTCTAGCTATAATATAGGCATCTGAAAGAAGAGGATTGCAAGGATTTTTCAGAATCAATCTTAGGCCAAAATGATTTGATTTCTATCAGGGTGGATTGCTGTTTTTTCCTTTCTTTTTTGGTAAAAGGGTAGATTGCTTACTTCACTGCTGATGTTTTCCAAGAGTATAGGAGCATAATTATGAAGTTAATGCCTAGGAAACAAGGTGTTTTCTAGAGGTGTCTCTATACAATGCCATATGTTGCATACATGTTATGTTAGCCACCCTCTTAGGAAGCAAATCAAGGAGGTTTAGGACCAGTATAAAGAAAAGATACTGCAGCAGGAAGCAGAGAAGGGGGGGAAAAGCAAAGTCGCAGTTAGTGACACACAGGTTAACTAATAGCTTGAACTGGAATAATTCTTATGTGGTCTCAGTCAAGGAAAAACCCAACTGGGAGTAGGTGTTGCCGGTTATAGTTTATAAGTTTCATCGATTCTCAGGAGCTACTATCAGAGGTTTCTTCTCTAATCAAGCGATTATCTGACTGATCAAAGAGGTCACCGAGATTACAGCAGCAGTGTTTCCCTCTCAGTGGTGTCTTATGCCATCTCTAACTGGAAACCAATATCCAATGTTTTTTTTATCAGCAAAAAGATTGTTTCATTAATTAAAATATGTGGAGTTAATTACAGACTGATGACCCAATAGTCATCCCCAAGGATTATAACCCAAGTTACAACGAGGCCCAATATAGTTGCTGCTTGCAGCCCCTTGTTTGGCTAAAGTATCTGCTAACCCATTTGCACTCCTCCTGATCCACCTGAAATCAGCATTTATATCCTTTGCTAATCTCTCCCCTTCTCTGAAGATATGCTTGAGGGTCCACGGGACATGTCTATTACATTTTGCCCAAGAGATTACAACTTTTTTGAGTCCCCCCTCCACTTCCACCTGACAAAAACCCAATTGCTTTGCCAATCAGAGGCCCTGTAATAATGCCAATAACTCAGCCTTTGTTGAGTTTGTAATACCAATTGGCCCTGAATATAGAGCCAATATCTTGCATTTTTCATTTCTGATTGCTCCCCCAATTCCTGCCACTCCCGGGTTGCCCATAGAGCTTCCATCAAAATTCAGTTTCACTTTGTTTACCTATGGTGGTTTCCACTCAACTCTTATAGCTTCCTTGCCCCTAGAGGACTGTGCTATTTCTTTCTGTAGAGAACACTGATGTGGGCCCCACGGCTGTGGTCCCCACTGTGTTCGTATGACAGCTTGTTATTTCAGTTTGTTATTTATTTCAGTCTTTTATTTGTTTTATTTGCCATGTAAGTATTAAGGGCAGTTCTGTCCTTTCCTACATGAAGTGAACATAACCTATAAATATTAAGAGAGTGGCGGCGGCAGACTTATTCAATCTGTCCCTCCTTTCAAAACCCTTGTGCACTTCTGCTTCTTCTCCTTTCTTCTTCCTCTTCCTTCTATTTTTCTCAATCCAAAATCAGTTGGGATTCAAGACTGATTGTAGTCTTGATCGACTACTCTTTCCATGCCCTTTGGAGTTTGGATGTCAGTTATAGAGAAAACATGAAAACTATCCAAGGTTTTTATCCACAATGTAACCCTCAGTTTTATGTTGTCAATGACCTCTTCCAAAGTTCTAGATTTTCCAGCGAAGATTATGTTATTTCTTTCCTCCCATACTCCCCAAGCCATAGTCGCTTTGGTAAATTTCCACATAATTCTCCCTCTCTTCTTTGGTTGCCTCAAGAAGTTAGGATTGAAAATGTCTGTCACCTCTTGGGGAAGGTCCCATCTGCAACCAAAGAGAGAATAGAAAATTTTCCAAATACGATGTACAAATGGACAGGAGATCAATAAGTGGGAGAGGGACTCTCCACTATTCCTACAAAGAAAACACATATGAGGAGAGAGGCTAGTGGAAGGCCTCCTTTTCTGCAGCAAGTCGCAAGTATTTACCTTAGCAAGGAAAAGGGTCCAGCAGAAAGCTTGGACTTTTGGTGGGGTTGGTTTGCTCCAAATTTCTTTCACTAGGGGAGCCACCCCTTGGGGCCTAGCAGAAGCAAGATGACTAAAAAAAGAGGAGCAAGAGAAGAGCCCATCTGGGGGGATTACCCAGAATCTAGAATCCTCCAAATTGGGGTCTAAGTAAACTGATTGCAAGGTTCCAATATCCAATGTTATCACAAACCATTTGAAGAAGATGAAGGTTGACCTGGAAATTTGGGATTTGCCATTCAATCTCTGGACACCAGAGGTCTTTTATCAAACAAGCAAGTGTTGTGGCGGCCTTATAGAAATCCATGAACTCACAAAGACATTGACTGGTCTTCGGTGGGAGAGGATTAAAATTGAAGGGAAGTCAGCAGATGCAATCCCTCGAGCACTTCATATCCATTACAAAGGTGATACCTACAAGCATAGTTTTCAAGGCACCTAGGCGATGCTGGGCGACAGTGGGGCACCTAGGCATCGCCTAGGCGATAAAAATTTTATAATATAAAAATCTAACTTTTGGCTAGTTCCCTAGTTTTATATTCCATTCAGCATGTATATTAATTGAAAAAATAGCAATTCTCTTTGTTAAGAACATTAAATTTCCTCTAAAAATGTGGAAAATCATCACATCTAAACGATAAAAATCTTTTACATATATTAATTTAATTATTTTTAAAAATAATACTGCTATAATAAGGATTTAATAGAGAATTTTATGTCAACTAGCAGCTAAAGAAGGTCAACTTTATATGATAAATATTCAATATGGAAAGTAAAATAGAAAAAAACAAGGATGGGGTTTCTGTTTTATTTAATTAGAGAGAGAATAGAAAAAAACAGAACCTCTTTATAATTCTATTCTTTCTTTCCTCTTTCTTTCTTTCTTTCTTTATTTTTCTCTCCTCAAAAACCTTTGATCTTTTAAATTTCAATAGTAAAACATTAAAACAAAGTATATTGATATATAGCATATAATAAAATGTAGTAACACATACATTAGTAAGTAAGATACAACAATATAAATGATATTATAAAAGGCGTCCGCCTTGTCATTTTTGTCGCCTAGGCGGGTGCTTAGTTGCCTAGGCGGGCGCTTAGTCGCCTAGAAGGGCGCCTAGTTGCTAAAAGTCAAGGCATTTGGGTGAGGCACCCAGCCAAGGGTGCCTAGGCGACCTTGACAACTATGCCTACAAGGTTTGGATCACATCTCCAATGGAGGTGAGCTTGTACAGAGGAGACTTCAATGTAAGGGATGATAAGGTGGCAGATGGTTCAACATGCGGACAAGGAAGATTTGCGGGTAAACAACAGATGGAATGTTACACAAAGAAGGAAAGAGAGGACTTGTTGACCAGGAAAGGCACCACAAGCATTTCCTCTTTTTTGGAGTTAAACCAGCCGAAAGATTTTGATCTTACGGCTAAATTTGAATCAAGGTGTCAGAAGGGTAAAGAAAAGCTGGGGGAGAATTTTTGGAATGTTCTTGAAATTCAGTTGCTGTAATTTGGATCAGTTTTTGTTCTTAATTAGAGTTTGTTTTGATGTGTTTGGCGAGGTTCCATCTTGTCACCTATTGGGTTGTAACTCGCTTTTTTTTATTAATGAATTTTCACTTTACTCTTCAAAAAAAATAGAGAGAATCAAAGCTAGTCATAAAAATCAGGACTTCGAGCACTTCTGTAATGCAGTTAAACACTTCATAAATCGGAACTATCACCACCCTGTTCAAGTCTCGAAAGTGTTTGCTAGATTGAAAGGGGGTTTATTTGGGGTTGGGACAGTCAAGAAGGTGAAGATAGTTAAGAAAGTTAGTACGAGGTTCAAAGGAGTTCAGACTGATCATGTTGACGGTGTGAAGTAACCATGGAGGATTCAGTTTCATCCTGCTGGTGGAGTGAACTAATCAAGCATTGCCTAGTGTGATCTTTATTTGAGTTTTCGTTTGTTTTCAGTTGTTCAACACTTCAGCTTTGTGGGGGCTTAGTTGTCTGCCACCTTTGGTCTGTTGTTGTGATTGTTGAAGGTGTGTTAGATGTATGGGTTTGGGTTGTATTTTGAGTCTGGAGTATGTTCTATTTTACAGGATCTAAATCATGTATATGTTAAATGAAGGTAGCCAGGCCTAGCAGAGCTAATGCAGAAATTACAAGATGCCTAGGCCTGAGCAAAAAGATGCAAGAATCTGGGTGAAAACCTTCCAAAAGCATTGCAGTAAGGTCCCTATCAGGAGGATTAATAACCTCTGTATTATAGCAAAATACAATTGCAATAGGAACAGGAAGGAAATACAAGCGAATGCATTTTAGTTCCCAATAATCCTGAGCATCAGAATGTACCAATAAAATCCTGAAAACTAGAGTTGTATAAAGATCTGAAAGGGGGAAGAAAGTCAACTTTTTCTTATGGATAACAAGTAAAAAAGAAAAAGAATTACCTGTTGGCGAACAGCTGCTAATATCCCTGCATCCACACGGCGAATCTCGCTGTGTATTTTTTGCATAAGGGGTTCCACACCAGATAAAGATGCCTCTGGATATTGACGATTCTCCACAATGTCAATATATAAGAAAGTGATAGTTCAGAGAAACAAGAGGAAAAAGATGTGATTGCATAAGTTACTGCTTCATACATATATTTAACCCAAATTATTAAAGAGGAATATTTTTGAATTTGAAACATTATTTGTCCTTTCAATTATATGAGATTGAAAAGAGGATAATTTTGTATACCAATCAAAAAATAGAGATAATTTTGAATTTGCAGCAAGGCAAATCTGCACCTATGAATTTCAAACTAGCTAGCCTTTCTTTTTGATAAATCACTAGCTAGCCTTAAATAAATTAAAAGTTTAAGTTCACGTGTATTTAGGCCCCTTACAAGCTTAATATGGACATGCTTCAGACTAAGGTATTCATTTCACATGCATAGCATGAGCAGTAAACTGATGAACCATCTCTTTGGGCATTAGGACACCAACTGCATAGTTTGGTGCATATTCTATAAATGGATCTGGCATTGTTTATATACTTGTCTGCTTGTACATTTGACATGATTGACCATTTTCTTCAGTTCAAACCTTTTTGGAGGAGCAAAATTGTTTAGGGGTCATTCCACTGTCCCAGAAATGGTAACCTTGTATTTGCATGGCCAATGAAACAGGAGAATATTTGTGAGAAAGGGAATCCACCATGCAAGCTATTTAAATTACATTATTACAACCATTTTAATTCCACAGAATCTTGCCCCTAAAGTTTAAATAAGTCCCTCAGATGGTTGGAGAGGCATTCATTCATTCATTTACATGGACTTCTAATGGCTGCCGCATCCACCCTGGCCAGTGAGGTGTCCTCCTTTGGGTGATGCCATCATTAAATTAAACTTCAATTGGTGCTCCTTAGGTAACCCAAGGCCCTCAAGCTCCAGTCTCATGTTACTAGGCTCACATGGAAGAATTACTTTTATTGGTGATGTCATTAAATTAAAAGTTCATGAGGTGCTCCTTATGTAACCCAAGGCTGTTTCTCTCTCAAGACCTGATCAAATTGGGATTTATATGGTTTGACATAGACCAGATCCTCCCTCTCCACCCCCCCCCCCCCTCTTAAAACCAGATCAGATTTTTTTTATCAGCAGCAACAAAGAGAAGAATTCATTAAAAATTAAAAATTAAGTGAGTTACAACAAGATGTTGTGAAAACAAAAAACAAAAAAAACAAAAAAAGAGCATAGACACTACAGTCTTTCCCCACCACCCTTTTAAATTTGAGCCCAAAACATTTGCTGTCTATTAACCCTTTGCTTAGCCAAACAGTTTGCAGATCTTCGAACCCATCTAACTTGTATCTGCATGTCTCTTGAGAACCATTTGTACCATCTTAATTCATTTCTGAAATTCCACACCACATTCTTTTCATTCATTAACCTGCCAACTACCACCTTTGAATCACCTTCAATCATCAACCTCTCCACCCTTATTTCTTTAGCTTTTTGCACACCAAATACTACTGCCAATGCTTCTACCCTTACTGAATCGCCTTCTCCTATTGGACCTAAATACATAGCACATATGGTTCTGTTCTCATCCCTTACCACCAACACCCATATTCAAAAAGGCCCTAGATTACCCATACTGCTACCATCAAAGTTTAGCTTCGACCATCCTTTGGAGGTGCCCAATTGTCCAACCCTCTTTTTCTTTTCCTTTAGGTTTTTTAGAAGAGGACATACTACTGCTCCCCAATTTCTAAAAGTGATGACGGATAATTTCAATTACAGTGAGATCTGAGAATAGCTCCAAAGTCTTCACCCAATGTGCCACTCTTAAAGTGATGGTTTCAATTAATACCTCCCTACTTCTGTCTTTCTCCTTGGAAATCCTTGCATTCCTTTCTTCCCAAATTGTCCAGATCAAAAGCTGCCCTTGTGAATTTCCACATGATTCTACCCCTTCTTTTTGAGCATCACAAACATGGCAAACGATCTATCCAGTCCAGGAGAATAAGAGGTGGTAAGCAGTCTCACAATTCAATTTGAACATGATACACCAGCCAGGGGACAATAACCAGTAGGGTTTCTTCCCCCACAAAACCATATTCTCCACCCATCTCTTCAGATACAAGCCCTCAATCACGAGTCTCAAGTCATATTCTCCACCCATCTCAAGTCATATGTCTCTTGAGATACAAGCCCTCAACAAGGAAGGCACTAGATGGATTCCATCCACTTGAACCAGGATACATGTGAAAACTAACTTCCTCCAGGAGCTTGTTCTTGGATCAACAAATCTGGACCTGCCATAGGCTTCACCCACAGCTTCAAAAGTTTGGAAAGACCACGCATGGAAAGGAATGCCGTAAACATTAATCCACACCAGGATTGTTGGTCCAACATCTCTCATAGCGCCAACCAACAGATTCCATCTTCCAATCCTCAGATCAGGAGGCCAGCACTGTTTATTTTCTCAAAGCAAAATGTTCTCTGCCTCCTCATTTTTGAAAATGAACAAAAAGAAACCAGCATTCAGTTTCCTCGCTTGGAAAAAACCATTTGGTTTCCACACAGCAACCGCCCACTCCTTCACATTTTCCTCATCTGGATCCAAATTAAATCGTCCCACCTTACTCCTCTTGAGCAAACTCAGTTGGCCATGGTCATACTCACATACACCTCCATATTACCAGCCTCTACGCAAGCTCCATGCATATCTTTAGCCCTCACTAACTTAGGCACCGCCTGATTTAGCACCAAAAAGACAATTTTATGACTTAGGCAAATGGCTTGGCATACAAGCTTGACAAATTAGGTAAAGCAGTACTTTCTATATTGAGACTTCCTTGTCATTGTAAAGTATTAGTTTCATGGTGTAGCCTCCTCTTTGCATGACTCATAATTTCTTCCTAATACAAAATTCAGTATTAAGGAAAAGGGAGAGCAAGTCAAAATGCACAACCAAGTAATTTGCAGTCTGTGATAATAGAATGGCAAAAATGTAGGAAACAGTCTCATGATGAAGAGAAGATAGATCAATTCTCTGCTCATACATAAGGACAAAAATGAAGAGCAACGGATCTAAAGTCTTTTTTTCTTTTTTTTCTTTTCGAATCCTAAAGTCTTCAGTCCTTTGCGGAAGCATGTAGTACATGTTGATACTATGATGAGACACTTCCACCATAAAGACCACTATTAAAGAGACAAAAGAACTCCATATATTGTACGGGAAAAATGAGTTATAGGCAGAAGATGATAAACTTTGAAAAAGGATCTAGAGAATCCTAAACTCCTTCTCAGCCATTTAGAAAGTGTTATAATAAGCTCATGTTCTTGTAACAGCTTATTGTACAAACCAATTTAGTTCAAATAATCAACTGATTGCCAGATTAGTCTTTATTTTTGGGCAAACTGATTGGTCTTCATTATCTATTTGAATTCAAGCAAACTAGCAAGTACACTATGGTTCATTCAGTTATGAGATTTTGTTTGAGCTTCATTTTTTTTCTAGTTTCAGAGTTTTCAATGACAAATGTTTTAAGCACTCATAAGTTAACATGACAGTATTAATAACTCAATAACCCAATTAAGTGGTTGAGAGAGAGAGGGACCTGTTGGGAACATCTGGTTGATGTATTCGAGAGCACTGGACTTGTCCATTGCGATTAGAACTGAAGATCTAGTTTCAATTATTATACCTGCAAGAAAACGAATGAATGAGAGCTTTATCTGGACCCAGTCAAATTTTTACATTTCTTAGTGATCTAGAACTAACAACTAAAACGTAGTTATTGCGACGCAATAATTGCAGATCAAGAAAAGAATAAAAAAAAAATTGTATTAAAACCGTATAGTTAAAAATAAATAGAAAAACAAAATAGAGTCTGAGGTTTCCTGAGATACCAAGAAGAAAGCAGATTCAAATTGAAACGGGACTAATAATGAAGATCTGAGAATGCTTTTCTGCACATCGAATTCAAGAACTTTGATTATAAAATTTACGAACTTAGGAATGAATCATAAACTAAAATTGCGGCCTCTCTCTTTCCTTCTATGAATCCGACTATGGGCGTTGAGAGTGACGACTACGTAAAAGCGCTAACACCCGAGTCGGAAATCAGGACTCAGAATTATTGATAACCAAAATGCATTCTCTTGGGAGCCCAGATCCTCCGAAATCACTCCGGTAGCAGTTTTGCTAGTTTGAGCACCGCCTTGAAGCTCTAATTTGACCGCCTAATTATTGTATGCCATATAGAAGAGATGAAGGGACGTTCTGGATACAACTATAATGAAAGAAAACAAATAATTAGGAGAAAGGAAAAACAGTAAGAAAATGAGTCCAGAAAACAACGAAAAACAAAAGGAATAAGTGAAAAAAAAAATTAAAAAGAAAAAACAGATCCCACTTTCTTCCCCTATCTCTTCTCTTCAACGAACATAAAGCAGGTGCCCTCTTCCTTCTCTCTTTGCAGAAAGTAATAGATTCCGCCCCCTTCACTAATAGGATCCACCTCCTCTCTCTCTATCTGTAGAATTCTGGGATTTTTTAAGTTTTTGATTTCCGAATGGTGAATGCCCACATTGAAAATTGCAGATTTGTGCTGAAGAGAACTCCTAAATTGATAATTTTAACCGGATGAAGCGTAGTAAGCTGGATTTTCCGGTGTCTGCAAGGAAAGCAGGGACTTTAGAAAGGGTAGGGATCTGCTACCAAGTAGATGCTCCCAATACTGCCAATAAAACGTTGTAGCCGTACATTGGGAACATCTGATTCAAGGCAGATGTTCCCATGCGAGTGCGATGGCTGCTTGGGATTGTTGGGAGCGTCAAGTTGGTAGCAGATCTGAACTGGCTAGTGTGCATGAAAAAATAAGGATAAAATACAAACTACCCTATGTTTTATCAAATAAACTAAAACTTACCCTATTCTTTCAATAATAATTTGGAGTATTCTTAACTTTTCGAATAATTGACAAAACCCTCCCTTGCCGTTAATACAACATTACAATCCGTTTTCTCCGGCAAAACGACAGGGTTCACAAGCACGATCGATCTCTTCCTCGAAGAAGAAAACCAAACCGCTGGTTCACCATATCGAGAGAAAGATGAAGGTTTAACTCCAATCCTAACCTGTTCAAGTGCACAAGATTCAGTTAAGACACTGTTAACGGATATATATTGGGTCAGGTCTGAATCGGTTCAGGATTAGGTGGAATTGATTCCGAATCAATAATAATTATGACCCGGAACTGATCCATTGGTTTCAGTCTCCATAACCATAACTGGCTCGATTAGTTTGGGTCCATCGGGTTGGACCCAATTCGTTGACAGCCCTAAATTCAGCCACTACAGAAGCAAACGACCCGTTTAGGATTTAGCCACCACATTGCATATACGACACATAGAACACCTCTCTTGTGGATGCTTTTTGGTTTTTAAAAAGGGATTATTACCATTGGTTTTTGACTTATTTCTGTATGGATCATCATCAAGGCCTTACTATAGGTTCCTATTTATGGGAAGATCTACTGCTCTTCAACCCAATGTTTTCGAAAGCATACCATATTGGAAAAATTAGGAATTTGACCAGTTCCATTTCATCTCAAAACCGTCTTTTGGCCAAAAACCATAGATTTGGTCAGTAAATCATTGATCCGGGCAGTCGAATTGTTTGAAGTGATGATCTAGATAACGATTTTTGGCCTTTTTTATTTTTTTATTTTTTTGTTAGAATGGGTTGTCTGTTCGGTTCGAACAATCTGACTGTTCGACATGAAAACCAGGCCCCTGACTGGTTTGTTGTCCGATTCAGTTTTTAAAAACGTTGCTTCAATCACAAAACGACTTTTAAAAATCAAAATCAGGATTCCATGGGGATGGATTACAAATCTTACCACTTAATTAGAAAATTAGCATAGCAACTATTAGTGTGACATGTTTGGATGCAAACAATTGCCCAGGTTCCATAACCATTCTCTTTAGACCAAATAGTATGGCAATTCTACACAGGGGATTTCCCGATTTAGCAAGGAAATGGGGAGCATGGCTGCCCCATCCATACTCTTATCTTCAATACCACTTATTGCAATGTTTGGTTTACTGGAACTCATTGCATCCTGGTATAGTAGGGAAGGGGGGAAAGGGGGAAAAAGGAAAGAGGAAGTTGAAGAAGAATGAGAGAGAGAGAGAGAGAGACCTCTGGTTTGGATCTAGAGGAAGAAGATGATAAATGGTGCTCCTCTTGACATTATGACTGGGAATATTTGAAAGGGTAGTATTGGGAATCTAATAAAACTATTTATTTTGAACGGTAGGTCACTCATATGGGGCTCCTTGGAGATTTTGAAAAGTCATGGCAAATTTAAGAGAAATATACAAAAGTCATGGTGAGTTTTAGATAATTTCCCAAAAAAATTACAAGGCGCAAGGGTGAAACAAGTGAAGCTTTATTCTATCATCCAAGCATTACAAAAAGCAGCTTATTTTTGCATAAGTATGGATACATATTTAAATAGACTTTGTCGGTCATATCTAATATACAAGCAAAAGGCAAGGAAGAATAACTAGGAAAATAGGAAAAGAGGCATGCGTTGTTGGCAACAATACAAATATATTGGTATCTAAACTGCATTAAGTGCTAAAACAAAAGTTTATTCTAAAGAATGTTCGCAAAGGCTCAGATTGGAAAGAGTACAAATACAAATATGTACAATGTAAATACATACAAAATAGTACAAAATATAAGGTTTTGCACTCTACAAATATGTATTTGTACTCCTTCCAAACTGAGCCAAAACAAATCACAAGTTTCAAAGATGGTCTCGTAGCAATCATATCAAAGTAATTAAGTAAACCTTTCTACTCTCTATTATACACAAATATAGTCCTCATAGCAAAAATTCATCATTATATGTCCATCATAAACATAAATATAGTCCTCAAATCAAAAATTAAAACCATCATAGAAAAATGTATAACAGGTGACATGTCCTTTAAGCCATCCATCACTTGCATGTATGAGAAAATTTGAATTTCAAGTCTTCGACCAATCTCTTCATCACCAAGCATCCACTACTTGCACATTCCTACTCACCATTTGTTGTATAAATAAATCAATTACCCTAAAAAGTTTAAAGTAGAGAACAAAAGAAAATAATAAAGTAGCCATAGGAGAACTTTTTAAGTATTATTACCTTGGGTCCAAAATAGTTGCAATCCCCATGATTTCATGAATCACATTCTAATACTTTTCAAATTTTTGCAACATGTTTTGAGCCATCTTATTAATCACCACACTAGGAGGCCTGAGCCAATAAGACCTCACAAAGCACCTTACTTGTATGCAAACAAGGCACATAAATAAACTTAAAGAAAAACAATAATAATATATAATTTATTATCAAATTTATGAATCAAATTATACACAATGAATAAATTAAAATTAGCAATTTAAATCATATATAATAACAAACTATCACCTATAGATAAAGTCATATTTATGCATGCAATTAATTAAAAAATGAAGAAAGAGAATTAAATTTAAAATATGCCTTAGAATTTGGCTATGTAATATCTAAGAGCTATTAATGAAGTGTGTAGTAATAGCCATAAACCCCCTTTTCTGATTGCTAGATGTCAACATGTCACTAGTTATGGCCACTCTGCTTTCATTTTTCTCAAGCATTTTCATTGTCTTCATTCTTTCAAAGTAATAAATCTTTAAATATCACTCTTTATAGTGTTCTTGGAAGGGCATTTAAATAAAGGCTGAAGAGCATTTGGATATCTCCTCAATCCAACATTCTTCACCCTAGAAAGGGGATATTCATGCATTATGATCATATTTGCAAGTTGTCTCCTTCCAATGTCTTGATCAAATGTATAAGTAATTATCTCTGCTTTGGTGTTGAAGTTGTTTGTTAAAAACCTTCTGCCTTGTATCAACCACTCTATGCCTTGGTCACTTCTTTAAATGCTCATGTAAATGTTTTGTGCCATTCTTTGAAGCTCCCCTAGGTAATTTACTAAAATAATTGCAATTGTCTTCACCATTCATTTTTTTTTTCTTTTTTAAAGTATTCCCACACAACACTTTTAAGTTTCTTACCCTCTAAAGTACAAATACTTTCATTTTCCATTGTCATTTCTTCTATGGATGGATTTGAGCTTTTATTTGGTGTATTTAGTCCAAAGCTAAGCTATCAACCGGTGTTGATGGATTGAAATTATCACTTGGTATAGAATGTTGGGAGCTAACTTTTTGAGACATATCCTACCTATACAATTAACAATGAATAAAAATAAATAATACAAGAACCAAAATAGCATTCATATATATATATAGAGAGAGAGAGAGAGAGAGCCAAGGCTATTTCATGATAAAATTGCTAAAATGAATGTTTAACATAATAAAATTACTAAAATATAACTTTTCAGATTACATAATATTATAATATAATCTGAAATACTTTCACCATTAACCAAATGTCAATAATCCATAGAATCAAGTAACTTACTGTGCCTTAATGAATCATATGCCTAAGAGTGAATTATATGATAGCAAGTTACCAACAAAGATCAAATTTACAAATTCCAACTTTCATGTTTCAAGTATTCAACTATTCATTATTCAAACAAATAAATTTTAATGGCTAATTAAATTAAACATCTATTAGACCGAAAATAAATCTAATGGTTCAAGCAAAACCCAAGATAACTTTAATATGTGGGTCATGCCATTAAAGAAAGCAAGGATTAATCAATCAACAACTGAAATGCCTAAAGTATGCCCAAAATAAAAACACATAAGACAGTTCATGGTTGCATATGTATTTCTCATTTCCAGAACTGAAAGCAAGGATTAATTTCTATAGTTTTTGTTTTAAAAAAAAACATTATTCTAGTGGTTTCAAAATTTGAAATAAAACCAACCTCTTTTCAAAAACATAGTACAAGAATATGCTAGCTTTTCTTTTTTCCTTTTTTTGTTGGGATTTCAAAAATAAATGAAAACAAAAATATGTTGTAGAAGATTCCCAAAATCTTTAAAACAAAATTTTCATTAAAGTTATGCCTGATTTATTTGGAGATTCTTTGCCAAACTCACCTCCCAAATGCAATTTATAATTCAATAAGCATGTTTTGAATGATTTGAGGCCACTAGTGATACTATTTGACTCTTGAAAGAGGGAGTCCATATATACCAATACAAGGTGGATATGGGTTTTGAATGGACTAAAACCTGATAATCCTTAATGGACCTAGCCAAACAACAAATGAACCACTGGTTTTCCGCTCTCTGCACTTTAGGTGACTTTGCAAGACATCAATATACACAAATAGATACAACTAGAATACTCAAAGAATAAGTAAACTAAGAATGAAGTCTATCTTTTTTCTCATTTTAGGTTTTATTTGATTTCATATTATTTATCTTTAATTACTATTTATCTCCTAAATTATATCTAATTTGGTAGAGAGATTTTCTCCTAAATTTTCTCTTATTCTTATTTATCCTCTCCTCCACTTTTCAACTAGACCTATCTAAAAGGGTTTGAATAAAAAAATTTACAAATTATTTTAAGATTATAATAAAATTGTGTAATAACATTAAATATTTATTAAAAACACAAAAAAATATAATATGTTTAACAATATTCATATAATTAATAATTTTACATTTTTATGAAATTCATAAC